TAGTGGTTCACCAGCCAATCGAAACGGTCGTCTTGGACGGCGACCTGGAAATGAATCAGTTTGAGGGGGATGGCTTTTGATAGAAAAAGCTCATTTTCGGTATTTTTCTTGTACAAAATGTCGCAGGTGTGGAAGAGAATCGCCGATGGCTGTGGCCAAAGGTTCCACATCGACAACTACCGTAAGCAAGAAATATCTTCATTTTCAGAATTTTTCTTGTTGATTTTCACTGCTTGTAGTCGAGTTGTCCGCTATTGTTTCTAGCCAAAAAAGGTGGGAAAGTGCGACATTTTTCCTGGGGCGGGACAGAAATAGCGTTGTTCAAATGGGGTTTCCGAGGGTTTCTGGAGGAGGGGATGTGGTAGATACCGGCCATGGACTCCGGCGTCAACCTTCCTGCGTTTATGCACATTCTGATGCAATAACAAATTTGGCCGTACACCACCTTCAAAAGCGTTTTTGGGCAAAAATTTTACAAAAATATTTCATTCGAAAAATTCCAATTTTTGACTGAAAATTCAAAATTTTCAGCCAAAAATCTTGAGAATCACAAATTTCAACACCCCACTACTACTAACAATATTTCCGCCATTTTTCAGTGCAAAGGAGCCGGAAAGTACCGTCAACAAGGAAAGACGTACATTGTCCAGGACGGCGACGTCATCTTCTTCAAATTCAACGCCGGAGCCGGTCTTCAAGCCAAAAAGAAGTGAAAAATGCGTTTTTTCGGGGAGGAATTGTTTTTTTTGTAGTTTTTCATGTTTTTTTTTTTCAATTTTTTTTGATTTGGTTGATTTGTTAATTAATTATATATAATTATCATATTTTTCCCTAATTTCCTTCCCCAAAAAGTGATTTTTTCAGCATAACTTTTCCCTTTTTTGTAATGAATTTTGGCATTGTTTTTATTAAGAATCTAAATTAGGGGGAAATGGAGCAAAGATCCATATTTTATATATCTAGAAAGTTTATAGAAAAATTTAAAAAAATTTAAAATTTTAAGCAAAAAAAAGGATTCTGAAAATTCTGAAGTCGTCAACGTCATCTGAAGTGTCGAATTGGGATGAGAAGATGTGAGGAAATTCGTCTGGAAAAAACAGAAAAAGGGCTAAAGTTTGGTCCAGATTAGACAGCTGTGCAAATTTATGCAAATGTGCTCCACCGTACTGCACACAGAACATTTTATTTTGTGCATTAATTCACTTTTGAATGGAAAAAGCCTTAGATTTGGGCTTAAAAATCCGCGAATTCTATATTTTTTGCCATTTTTTTCATCTGAAAATTTGAAATTCTTAAGATTTTTGGCTGAAAATTTTGAATTTTCAGTCAAAAATTGGAATTTTTCGAATGAAATATTTTTTGTAAAATTTTTGCCCAAAAACGCTTTTTAAATCAGATTTTACGGAAATTTCTTTAAATTTCAGCCATTTTTGACCCGGGAAAATGCTGAAAATAGATCAAAAAGTCCCAAAATTTGAGTAAAAGTTTGGAATTTTTCGGCTAAAAACACTTTCCAAATCGGTTTTAAGCTGAAAATTTGCATTTTTTGCTGTTTTTTAACCTGGAAAAAGCTGAAAATTGACGAGAAATGTGAAATTTTTAGGCAGAAAAACGGACATTTCAGACAAAATTCAAAATTTTTCGAAGAAAAACATTATTTTAGTTGGTTTTTGGTGTGTTTTTCAAATTTTTTGCTGTTTTTTGACCTGAAAATCGCTCAAAATCAACCAGAAATCTGTTTTTTTTTCATGCTGAAACCCCTAGAATTTCGACAATTTGGTTTCTAACATTTTTCAGTTTTAAACTGATTTGTTGAAAAAGTGCTCCAAATTAGATTTTTTAAATTGAAATTTACAGTTTTCTCAGCGAATTTTGAGCCAAAAAATGCTAAAAAATCAGTCTGAAAGTCGATTTTCCACAGAAAATTCCGTCTAAAAACTATATAAATATACAATTTGGGGTCAAAAATAGCCCAAATTCTAAGATTTCCAGTCAAAAAATCTGAAAAAATGCTGTTTTTGCCTCAAAATCGCCCCCCGAAAATTTTCAATTTTTGCAGAGATGGCTCCATCGCCCATCAATCCATCTCCTCCGCCCACGAAGCTCTACTATGTGGGACAGTGTCGAACGTGTAATGGATGGGTGGAGCAAATGAGCTCATCCGGCAAACTCTACTATTATCAACAGAAAACTGAGGTATGATTTTGATTGGAAATGCGAAAATTAGCACCAAAATTGAGTCAAAATCGGTCCAAGATGACAAAAAATCGAAAGTTAGCACCAGAATTGAGTCAGAACGGTTCAAAATTGAGTAAAATTAGTCAAAAACTGGTCCAAAATGGTCCAAAATTGTTTAAAAAATGGTCCAAAATAGTCCATCCAAAAAGTCGAAAATTAGCATCAAAATAAAATTAGTAAAAAATAAATCCAAAATGGTCCAAAATAGTCCAAATAGTCGAAAATTAGCATCAAAATTGAGTAAAAATGGTCAAAAACCACGGAAAAATCGAAAATTAGCACCGAAATTGGGTTAAAATAGTCAAAAATTGGTCCAAAATCGGTCTAAAATTGAGTAAAAATTGTCAAAAATAGGTCCAAAATAGTTAAAAATGACTGAAAAATCGATTTTTAGAGAGTTTTCCAAACTGGAATATCTCGAAAAATGGATTTTTGATACTGAAATGACCTAAAATCTGATTTTTTTTTGTTCCATGTGGAACCCAAAAAACCCAAATTTCAGCCTATTTTTATGTCTGAAAATGGACTTGCCAGCGAATTTTTCGCTTTAGATTCTGACTTTTTTTTCGAAATTTTGGCAGTTTTTTGAATCTAGAAACTCAGAACTCCCGCCTAAAAATTCTCAATTTTTCAGCTATTTTTTCGGTTTTGTTCTTGTCTGAAATTCGACGGAAATAACAGTTTTTCTCGTGAAGATTACGATTACTGTAGTTTCTTTGCGAATTGCAAAAATCACTTCAAAATTCAGAAAAAAATCGAAAAAGTCTACAGTAATCTACAGTCGAATTTCAGACAAAAAAAACCTGGAAAAATCGAAAAAGAATCTAAAAAAATAGCTGAAAATGCTGAAAAGGTCTGAAAATTTCGCTGAAAAATCGAAGAAAATCCCCTATTTTTTATTCGGATTTTTCAGAAAAATAATTATACCAAAAACTCGAAAAATAGCCGGAAAATCGATGGCTAACTGGTCCAAAATTGACCTGAAAATACTCCAAAATCATCTGAAATTCTCTGAAAATAGGCTAAAAATGGCCCGAATTTAAATAGAAACGACCTGAAATTGGTCGATTTGGACCGGAAAATTCTCAAAATTCGGTTAAAATTCGCCGAAAAATCGTTGTTTTCGATCATTTTTACTAGATTTTATTGTGGCAAATCGATAAGAAATGACCCGAAAATTATCTTTAAAAAAAAACAGCCAGAATTCGTCATTTTTTTTCCATTTTCGACTCAATTCGTAGTGCTATTCTTCCATTGATTTTGGCTAAAACAGCCCCAAAAATGCTGAAAATATCTTTTAAAAAATCCATTTTCCAGGTATCCCAATGGCATCCACCGAACGAATGGACACTTTCATCACCGCCGGATCTTCAGAAATGGCGGGATACGGTGATTCGAGAGGCGGCGAAACAGTGTGTGAGTGGAGCTGAAAATTGGGGCAAAAATGGGATAAAAATCTGAAAAATTGAGCCAAAATGCATTAAAAATCGCTGGAAATTTGAAAAACATTGCTCTGAAAATCTGAAAATTCAAAAATAACGAAATTTTGGGGCTGGAAAATCAGCCGAAAATCGCTGAAAATCGCTGAAAATCGCTGAAAATCGCTGAAAATTCTGAAAATGATTACTGTAACCCTCAAAAACGAGAGCAGCTACAGGAACCTGGAGACTACTGTAACTCGAGAATAGCTACAGTATTTCTTGTGCAAACGTCCCCAATCGCTGAAAAAGTTGAAAAATTCGATCATTTGGCGGCAGTAATCCTACAGTAGCGAAGACGAGGATTACGGTAGTATCCAACACTACAGTATTTCATAGAGGGGGACCTACTGTAACCATCAAGAAAACTACAGTATTCCTCGAGAAGCGAGAGACTACAGTAACTCAGAAATAAGTACGGTATCCTTGTGGAAACGCGCCGAAGGCACACCAGCCATTGCTTCCAAGTTTACAGTATAGACTACAGTAATCTAGTCTCTAGAATCTAGGAATCGGGTCTGAAAATTGTCTGAAAATCGCTGAAAACGTAAAAGAATCGAATACAGTAATCCTACAATACCAAAGACGAGGATTACGGTAGTATCCAACACTACAGTATCCCCAACAAAGGCTACTGTAACCCTCAGAAACGAGAAAGCTACAGTAACCCTGGAGACTACTGTAACCCTCGAAAACAGCTACAGTATCCTTATGGAAAAGCGCCGAAGACACACCAGCCATTTGTCCTTGAAGATTATAGTATAGACCACAGTAATCTAGAATCCAAAATTCGAGATTTTCCAAATTCCCGAAAATACCCAAAAAATTCGAAATTTTCGAAATTGTTCAAAAATTTTCAATGATCCCAAAAACGCGCCAATTGGCACGCCAGTCCAAAAAAAAATCTAAAGAATCTCCAATTTCGATCAAATTCCACTTGACCTCCATCCCTCCTCCACCCGCCGACGTCTTCTTCTTCTTCTTCTCTTCCGAATCGTCGGTTGACGCCTTTTTTCTCGAAAATCTGTATAATATCGGTCACCACCACTTCTCTCTCTCTCACTTCTCTGCGTCTCTAGCCATCCCACTCTCTCTCTCTCCCGAGGGAACTGCACGGCCACAATGCATACAGTTCTTTTGAGAAGCGACAGAGAGAGTGTGTGTCTAACAGAGAGACGCAGACAATTGACACCCTCTCTCTCTCTCTCTATCTACCTGTATGCTTTCTCTGGCACTCTCTCGCTCTCTCGCTCGGTTAACTTACTAACCGCAGGACGAGGGCAAAAACTTGCGTTTCGAACAGTTTTTGGGCTTTTTTGAGAGATTCCATTGCCTAACGACGTCTTCTGAATATTCATCTGAATCCCCCTATTCGCCTGACGAGACGTATGGGCATTTTTCTGAATGTCATCATCGTCGTCGTCGTCATCCGCCACCACCACCAACAGTAGCCTGTTCACCTATCTGACGAGCTCGATTCGAGCGTTACAGGTTAACGAGGTTAGTTGTTTGGGGATTTTTAAAGCTGAGTAATCGGATTTTTTATAACTAGAAAACTGTGAAAAAATGTGTGAAATTCGAGGCAAAACGCACTGAAAAATCGGTCTGAAAAAGTTGAAAATTCAACTAAAAAAGTGTGTGTTTCCTGAATTTTCTACAGTAATCTTACAGTAGAACAACAGTCTTTTGGAGGCAAAGCTACCAATTTTTGAGCCCCAAAACCGTTATTTTGAAGCGCGCCAAAGGCGCGCCAGCCAATGGAAAAATGGTCTAAAAAGCTCTCAAGGCGCGCCAGTCTATGGAAAAATAGCACAGGTCCTTTTTTTCTAGAAAAAGATGCTCCAGAATATTCTGAAAATAGAACATTTCTGTCTGTCCGGGATTTTGAAACGCACCAAAGGCACGGCAGCCAGTTAGAAATGACCCACTGTATCTACAGTATATTAATTGAAATGGGCCAAAGGCACACCAGCCAAGTATAGTCTACAGTAACCTGGATTCCAAAATTTTGAGAAAACGCGACGCCTAAGGGTTACGATAGGGACCGACCTTACAAATAAGCCTGAGCAATTCGAGAACTACGGTACCCTGAAAAGATTTGTTTAAAGGCGCATTGTCAGGCCAACAGCGAAATCGTCATTTTGCTATGCGCCTTTGAAGTTTCCAGATTGTTTGAAATTTATTATTTTCTTCTTCAACCTAATTTTCCCATTTCTGGCAATTTTCTGAGATTTTTCGGTTATCGAAAATCGAACAAAAAATTGGCTCGAAATAAAAATTTTTGAAAAATCTAGAAACTTTAAAGGCGCATAAAATTTAACGGCGACAAGACAACGATTTCACTGATGTATGCGACCATGCGCCTTTAATTGGTCTAAAAGGCGTTTAAGGCACGCCAGCCAGCTAAAAATGTCTCCTGATGGGCCTGATCAGTGATGGCGCATTTGGTTACAGTAATTTTTGCCCAGCCTTTCTAAGCAATATCTACCAAATTGGTGACTATCGTAACTACAGTATCCCCATGGAAGCGCGACAAAGGCGCGCCAGTCTATACAAAAATAGCACAGGTCGTTTTTTTTTCTAGAAAAAGAGGCTCCAGAATATTCTGAAAATCTGAAAATAGATATGAAAAACGCGCCAAAGGCACGCCAGCCAACTAAAAACGACCGCGAATACGCACTGGATTACTGTACTTTCTCCCAGTCTCTTTCAACGAAATTTACGATATTTTGTTAGGCATTGGAGGTTACTGTAGCTACAGTATCCTCATAGAAACGCGTCAAAGGAACACCAGCCTTACAGTATAGCCTGCAGTAATCTGGAATCGAAATTCTAAAGGAAGAACGAGTCAAAGGCACGCTAGCCCGAGTCGGAAACTCGAATAATGCCAAAATTTCGACCAGAAGGCGCGCCTGAGAGCTGCGATAGGGATCTGAAAATAAGCCTGAGCAATTGGAGAGCTACTAATTTTGGCATTTTTCGGATTTTCGTCTAGGCTGGCGTGCCGTTGTTGACGCGTTTTTTCAGAGAACTGCGGATTCCAGATTACTGTAGTCACCAGATGCCTAACCAAAAATGGTGAATTTAGTTGAAAGAGACTGGGAAAAAGTACAGTAATCCAGAGTGTCTTCGGGGTCGTTTTTAGTTGGCTGGCGTGCCTTTGGCGCGTTTTTCGCTCCCGGATAGACAAGAATCTTCTGGGCCGCCTTTCTCTTGGTTTTCGAAAAATAGGTTCTGGACCATTTTTCCATCGGCTGGCGCGCCTTTGGCGCGTTTCCATGAGGATACTATAGTTACAGTAGTCACCATTATGGTAGATATTGTTTAAAAAGGCCGGGACATCAGGGGTCATTTTCAGCTGGCTGGCGTGCCTTGAGAGCGCCTTTTGGTCCATTTTTCCATTGGCTGGCGTGCCTTTGGCGCGCTTCAAAATGACGGTGTATGAAGATGATGCGCCTTTAAATGAGCTTTTTAGAGCTCTTAAAATGTATTTTGTAAGGTAAATCGATATCAGGAAACACAATGAGATCAACATCGGGACTGAAAAATTGCTAATTAAAAAGTTAGAATTATCATGAAAAATGGGAAATCAATGGAAAAAGGCGTAAAATTGGGTCCATGTATCTACGAAAAAAGGTCAATTGAGAGAGAGAGAGAGAGAGAGAGAGAGAGAGAGAGAGAGACGCAGAGAAACCTAGTAGACAATTTTAAAATGTCCTTTTTTCTTCCGAAAATGTCCTCCTCCGTCTTCTTCGATTCGGGGTGTTGCTTGGCGCAGTTCCCTTTCTCTCCCTCTGTCTCTATCTCTCTGCCGTCTCTCCATTCCCCATACTATTTCTCTCCTCCTGGGTGTTCCGTTGTTTTGTGGGGGCCTTCCGAATGGCGCCGTCTTTCGTCTGTCTTCTCCATGTCCCTCCAGCCGTTCTCGTTGTATTTTTCTTTTTTACGAATCTTCTTCTTCTTCTTCTACTAGCCTATCGGTTGTTTTCTGAGGGGACGCGGCCTCTGCCGCCGCCAGCTTCTTCTTCTTCCTCTTTTCGTGTCCCCAACCCCACCGCCACTACTAGATGGCTGGATGGACAAAGAGAGTGACAAAATTAGGCCTTCTTTACCCTTTTTGTGGACTTTCATAGGCTTAAAATGGCCTGGAACATTGGAAAAAAACCAAATTTTTGTCAAAATGAAAGTTTGGATTTTTTTTTGAATTTTTGAATTTCTGAAAATTTTAGAGGTTTTCTCTGAAATTATTAGATTTTTTTTCGAATTTTAGAGATTTCGATTTTTTCAAAATTTTTAATATTTAGCATTTTTCAAATACCGTAAAACCTGTATTAGAAGGGCCGGCCCTTCTATTGTTCCAAGGTATTTCCGGAGGGCCCTTCTATTACAGGTGCCCTTCAATTAGAGGGGCCCTTCTATTTTTCCAAGCCTTTCTCGGAGGGCCCTTCTATTAGAGGGTTCCTTCTGATACAGGATTTACGGTATCTGGAAGTTTCTGAAATTTCTAATTATTTTTTTTTCTCTCTCTCTCTCTCTCTCTCTCTCCCCCTATTACAGTTTTTATCGATTTTTCTGAAAATTTTAGAATTTTTCGGATTTTTACGGATTAGTCTTCTGAGTTGTCTCTAACGTCATCTGAATCCATCTAGAAGTTTTCTGAATTTTCATATATTCGGATATTCCAAATTTTGCATTTTTACGGATTCTGAAAAATCTTGATTTTTTAAATTCTGTCTCCTCGTTAATGTCATCTGAATCCATCCCGACGTCTTCTTCATATTCTCAGGGTGGGCTTGGAGATTAGAGAAAAGTGGGCGGAGCATGAAAATCCCTGTCGTCGAATTCACAACACACCGTCGAAATCAACGAGCATCGAATGATCGTCGTCGATTGACGCCGAATCGAGAAGTGTCTTCTGAATCCGCCGCTTCTCGGCCTTCTACGTCTTCTGAACAACCGCCGCCGCCGACGACATCGTCAGAAGATCAAGTGGCGCAGTTGGTCAAGATAGTAGAGGAGAAGGCGCTGGAAAATACTCTAAAAATGCTGGTCCAAAAAATGTTCTGAAATTGTCGGAAAATTTTCTGTGAAAATTAACAGAAAAATGGCTGAAAATGGACCAAAAAAATTGCCTAAAATGCGCTAAAGAATTCTAAAAATCCTTGAAAATTATCTGAAAAATTGTCTGAAATTTTCATGAAAAATTGAACGAAAATGGCTAGAAATTGACGATAAAGTGATTGGATTCCGTCTGAAAATACTTCAAAAATTGACTAAAAATGAACTTGAAGTGCTCAAAACTGCGCGAAAATTGCCTAAAAACGAGCCAAAGACTTCTAAAAACCCCCAAAAAATGGTCCAAAAATTGTCAGGAACTTTTTCAAAAATCTATCAAAAACGCACCTAATTCTGATGCAAAAAAGGCTGCAAATGGACCAGAATTATCAGAAAATCGCTCGAAAATCGTTTAAAATGCTATAAATACGCTTTCATTTGCTTAAAAACGCACCAACAATCTCTGAAAATCCCTCAAAAATTCTAGCTAAAATCCCATGAAAATACTCTTCAAATTGTCAAAAAACCAGCTGAAAATTGACGATTTTTGGCCTATTTCCAGCCAAAAAAACTTAGAATCTCTGGCTGAAAATGTGCTGAAAATAGCCAGAAAATGGCCAAAAAAGGCCTATGTTAGCCTATATCCACCACCTAAAATCCCCTAAAACCTCGAAATTTGCAGCCGCCACCACCACCTCAACCACCGGGAGGAATGCCGTTAACACCACATGGAATTCCCTACATGCCACCGCCACTCTACCATCCTCATCCGCATCTACCGTATCCCCCACCACACACAATGCCACCACCGGCTCATTACTATCCACAAGCTCCGCCCCCTCCACCACAAGCCTATTATCATCATCATGGAATGGCACCAATTCCACAGCATCACAGTGGACCAACGACGCCTGTGGCGAGGTTTGTAGTTTTTTTTTTTTTTTTTTTTTTTGAAAAATTGAAATCACAGAAATCCCAAAAAAATCGAAATTTGTCGAAAATCCCAAAAATTCTATTTTGATTCTTGAAATTTTGAATTTTTTGCGATGTTTCGAAATTTTGAATTTTTTGAGATTTTTCGAAAATTTGAATTTTTTGAGATTTTTCGAAATTTTCATTTTTTGGGATATTTTGAAATTTTCAATTTTTGGGATTTTTCGAAATTTTCAATTTTTGAGATTTTTTTGAATTTTTCAATTTTTGGGATTTTTTGAAATTTTGAAAATCTAGAATATTCTAATCGTCTTCCCAAGATATTCCAGAATGGCTCCAGTCTCATTTGGCAGTGCTCATGTGCCCGTCCCACCGCCTCCTCCATTGGCTCCGCCCCCTTCCCGCCCCATTTCCATGGCGACGTCATCCACGTCATCGACGCCGACAACGCTGAATTGCGCGGTTCCACCACCGCCGCCACCACTTCAGGTTTGTAGTTTGTGTAGTCTTTGTAGTGTCTGTGGTCTAAAACCCTGGCTGAAATTGGGCATTGGATAAAATTGAAAGGGTAGGATTTCAGTCAAAATTTTAATAGCTGAAAATGTTTTTGGTTTTTGTAGCCCTTGTAGTTTGTAGTCTTTGTAGCCTTTGCAATCTGAAACCCTTCCAGCGAACCCCGCGAACACCGGCCAGTATGTTCCAATCGCCACGTGACACCTTCTCGATCCCACCATCATCGTCCTCGGTGTCTTCGACGCCTTCATCGTCAACGGCGGCTCCGCCCCCACCACCTCCGCCTCCACCTCCGCCACCGCCACCGCCGATGGAAGGATCGTCGAGAACGTGAGTAATTTTGAAGTTGTTGAAGGAAAATTGAACTGGAAGACGTCGGACGTCTTCTGGGGGAGCCTGACGGCGTTTGGTCAGGCTGAGCGTGTTTTACGTCTTCTGAAAATTCAAAGATCGGGTTTTGAAGTTCTGGGACATTCCAGAGGGATCAGAATCGTCTGGAATCGATTTTGAAGACGTTGAAACATTCTAGAAGATAATGAATTCCCTGGAATCGATTCTGAAGGGACGCAGGAGGCTAGAAGACATGAAATATGAAGTTTTTGAGCTTTCTAGGTTTAGAATCTCGTCTGAAATCTCACAGTTCGATCCTAACGTCTTCTAGAATCTCAGAAACATGCTTCTGACGTCATCAGGAGACCGCAGACGGTCGTTACAATCTACTGCTGACCATAAGTCTTTAAAATCAATTTTTGACGTCTTCTGGAAGCCTAGATGCTCTCTGAATAGATTCTAGAGGATTCTGAATTATCCAAGCAACCGACTGACGTCTTCTGCTTGCAAAACGTCTCAAATCGATGTTCAACGCCTTCTGGAATGTCTGAAAATGTGGGAATTCCGCATTGACATCTTCTAGGAGCCTAGCTGCTCTTCTAAATTGATTCTAGTGAATTCTGATTTTTAGATTTCAAGAAACTTTGAAATTCTCGAGCCCAACATCCTAGATCTTTTCAAAAAGCAGTTCTAACGACGTCACGGTCCTCTTCGGCTGTGACGTCTTCTAGAAACTTTGAACCTTCAAAATTAATTCGAGGTGATTCTGAAACTTCTAAATCCTAAAAAACCTGAGTTTCGATGTTACCGTAAAACCTGTATTAGAAAGGCCCCTCTAATAGAAGAACCCCTGTAATAGAAGGGCCCTCCGGATGTACCTTGGAACAATAGAAGGGCCGGCCCTTCTAATACAGGTTTTACGGTATATGAATTCTCAAAAACCTAGATTTTTGGAATTTCCAGATTCGCAAGTCCTGCTGGAAGTATTCAAATGTCACCATCCGCCCGTACCCCATCCTCGTCCTCATCGATTGGTCCGGCCGCTTCGACAAGTTCTCAGAGTAGGGAATCGCTGTACAAAAAGGAATTCTCACAGCAACAAATGAGCAGCAGGACGAGCAGTAACAAGAGGTACTGTGTTTTTGCGGACTTTCTGTGAGGAAATTTTCAGTTTTAATCCCAAATTTGGGATCAAGAAAGATGGCTGAAATTGTCCATTTCGTCAACAAAAATCGGGGGGTAATTTTGAGACAGAATTCAACATTTTTGGCCCCAAAAACCCTCTGAAAATAGTCTGAAATTGTCCATTTTGTGCTGAAAAGTTGAGGAAAAAATTCTGGAGGTTTAGGGATTTGAGTTGTAAGATTAGTTGAAAGCCCGTATTTTTAGGGTTGAAAATCAATTTTTATGACGAAAAACGCGCAAAAAAGAAGCGAAATTATGGACCGGAATTTATAACATTTGAGACCAACATTGAATTTTTCTAATTCAAAAGCTGAAAATTACAGTAATTTTGATACAAAATCCTAGGTTTTTGAAGCTACAAACACTCTCGAAATGGTCTGAAATCGGTCTATTTTCGGCTTAAAATTGAGGATTTTCAGTTGAAAACTCTTCTCAAACAGTCAATTTTAAGAGGGGGAAAAAAATGGAATTTTCTATTTTCTAGCACAAAAACCATCTAGAATACCAATTTTTAATGGAAAAAATTTGAAAATTGACCCAAAATTCATATTGCAGACCCCAAATGAGCCCTCCGAAAGAGTTATCATCGTCAAAACGGAGATATCATGACGATGGATCGACGCCTTCTTCGTCGTCAGCACGACAATCGAGAAATGAGAGAATTAGTTTTGATGGACGGTCTCCCGAAGGAATGTCAGGTAAGTAGAGGAGGGGGATTACTGTGGTTTTTGAGAATTTCAATATTTTGAAAAAATCGAATTTTGGGGATTTTGGAAATTTTGAATTTTTTTAGATTTTTAAAAATCCCAAAAATTCATAACGTAAAACCTGCAATAGAAGGGCCCCCATACTGTCAAGTTTGAGCTCATTCATCTCGGCTCCTATGAGAGATATCAAAAATGTGTCAACTGATAAAATGTTTGTGATATTCTGATAAACAATTTATCAGTTGACAATTTTTTAATATCTTTATCAGACACCGAAATGAATGGATTTAAAGTTGAAAGTTAGGGGGGGGGGGCCTTCTATTACAGGTTTTACGGTAATTTTCAAAAATTGAAAAGAAAAAAACGTGGTATTTTCAAGTTTTGAAAATTTCGACGATTTCAAATTTGTGGTATTTTTTTGCATTTTTGAAAATTCGGAATTTTTCGAATTTCCGGGATTTTTTAGATTTTTGAGAATTTCGAAAAAAAAAGTTGTTAATTTGATTTTAAAAGATTACTGTAAATTTTAAATCATTGCTCATGCTTGTCCAGGTCCAATTCAACACGAAACACCGCGAAAATCGTCTCCACAATCGCTGGAAAACGAGAAATATCTGAAATACAAGCTGCCGCACCCCGAAATGTACAAATTTTTCGATAAAGACATGGCCAATGAGAAATCCGATGCGTTGGGTCTAACAGAAGGAGACGAGAAGAAGACTTTGGTGAGTTTTTGAGCTGAAATTTGGCTGAAAATGACTGAAAATTAGCTGGAAATTCTTCGGAAAAACAAGCCAAAATAGACCAAAAAGTCGGAATTTTGATTTTTGAAATTTTCGAATTTTTGGGATACTGTGATTTTGGAATTTTTTAGATTTCCAAACTTTTAGGATTTTAGGAATTTTCAAAATTTTGGAATTTCCGGATTCTCGAATCTTTATTTCTTTGTTTTGAAATATTCTGGAATTTTCGAAATTTTGGGATTTTTGAAAATTTGAAAATTCCGAATTTTCGAGATTTTTGGAAAGTTTCGAATTGTTGAAAATTTTGGGATTTTTTGAACTTTGACATGTTTCAGATTTTCAGAATTTTTGAATTTTTGAAATTTCGCATTTCCGAAATTTTTCGAATTTCGGAAAATTGAAAAAAATTGATTTTTGGGATTTTTCGATTTTCAAAAATTTTCGAATTTTTGGGACTTTTGAAATTTTGTGATTTTCAGAAATTTCAATTTTTTTGGAATTTTTTTTCTCAAGAATCTCTCTGAATTTTCAGATAAAAATGCGGCGGCACTCGATTTGGATGGACAACGATACGATAAGCAAATTCCAGGGATTCGAGGCGTGTCGAAATTATTGTGAAGCGAAAAAAATGATGCAGGAAATTGTGATAAGCCGGATTCAACACTTGGATGTACGGTTTTTTGGAGATTTTGGGATTTTTTGAAATTTGGGAAAAAATGGACCAGAATTTGCAAGTTTTGAGTTACTGAAATATGATAAATAGTGCTGAAAATCCAAAAAAAAAGTAAAAAGTCATAAATTTTGAGAATTCTAAAATTCCAGAAATTCAGAAATTAAGAAAATCCAAATTTCGATTTTTTGGCATTTTCGAAAATATCAAAAAATTGCTTTCGGGAAAAATCGAACTACAAATTTAGCTGAAAAATATTTAAAAATATAGAAAAATTGCCAATTTCGAGCTACTGAAAAATGAGCAATATTGCTCATAAATCTTATAAAAATGACGAAAAAATTTAAAAAAAAAAATGAAAAGTTCAAAAAATACTAAAAAAACTGGGGAAATTTGACCTAGAAACTAATAGAGATTTAAAAAAAAATGATTTTCAAGCCGGATATTTCTTGTTACTCTTGCTAAAAAATATGGTGTTTTTTTGTTTTTTGAGTTATTCCTGTCAAAAATTCTTTAGTTTTTTGTCGTTAAATCTAACTTTGAAATGTGTTGATTGCTACAAAATTCAATTATCTCGGTTCCTCTATCAGATATCAAAAAGTTGTCAACTGATAAAATATTGCTGATATTGCGATAAACATTTTATCAGTTGACAAATGTCCCATGTCTTTTCTAGGAATCGAGATAATTGAGCTCAAAGTTGACGGTTTGGGTGGGCTTCTAATAGAGGAAATACAGTAATCACCATACTTGTAATCCGGGCCTTTGCCGGGCCTCGCGGGCCCTGCCATAATTTCTTTCAGAATCGATATTTTCAAACCAACTAAATCAGGTATGATAGAACTCCACGAGTACTACAAAACGGTATTTGAAGTAATATATCTTATCTATGAACAAAGTTACAGATCATAAAGTCGCTTTTCTCGCAGTGCCCGGCAGGCCCGGGGCGGGCCTGCCTTTTTTTGCTCTTTTTGCTCAGTAACTCTGTTCATAGACAAGATACAGTATTCCAAATAATACCGTTTTGTAGTACTCGTGGAGCTCTACCATACCTGATTGAGTTGGTTCGAAAACATTGATTCTGAAAGAAGTTATGGCAGGGCCCGCGAAGGCCCGGCAAAGGCCCGGATTAAAAGTATGGTATTATCCTTGTCAGAGAAAAAAAAAGGTTGAGTCGAAGTGTATGCGATGTTTGTAAACAAATATCTGAAAGTGTAAACAACCGGAAACAGTTGAAACGAGTGCGACAGTAACCCGGCGAGAAAATGTTAAATTTACCTATTTTTTAGTTTTTCTCATAATTTTGCAGCAAATTTCGTCGAATATGGTTTGTTTTTCATTGTTTTTTTGCGGTATTTTAAAATAAATTCGACGAAATTTGCTGCAAAATATGCGAAAAGCTAAAAAATAGGTAAATTTAACATTTTCCCGCCGGGTTACTGTCGCACTCGTTTCAACTGTTTCCGGTTGTTTACACTTTCAGATATTTGTTTACAAACATCGCATACACTTCGACTCAACCTTTTTTTTTCTCTGACAAGGATAATAATCACCCTTCTCGTTGATTGCTCAGCCTACATTAATCTCAAAACTTATGTTCCAGAATTCGGAAGATGATTGCAAACAGTTGACATTAGAACCCTTCACACCATTCATACCATTTGCCCTATCTTCTTCTTCTCCTCCTCTTCCTTCTACTAACAATCACAATCATAATCCGCGCATTCTTAACAATAGTATCATAATAACAATAACATTAATCATAATAATTTCTCAATTTCACCAACCATGGAGTTTTGATTTTTTTTTTCCAAAAAAAAAACAATTGGAAAGAAAATGTTTTTTGACCGAAATTCTGAAAAATCGACATAGATTTTTTTTGAGAATTGTTGAAAATTGCCTTTTCTGATCCCGAAATTAAAAAAATAATAAAATTTCATACTTCTAGAAACGTCTAGAATTAATGGATTTTTCAGAGAAAACGTTCTGAAAAAACGATTTTTTGAGAAATTTTTTTTCGAACTTTAAAAAAGTCTATTTACCCCCCCCCCCCCCCCCCCATAAAAATTGTATTTTTGCATGCCTTTTTATTTCTTGGTGCATGACAAATATTTCTTTTTTACCTCATAAAGATTTTTTCGATTTTTTGTTGAATATTTCAATTTTTAGAAAAAATCGGCGAAAAACTGAGAGAAATTTTCATAAAAATGTCTGAAAAATGACGATTCTCAGACAGTATTTCAAAACGTATTTCGAAAATATCCAAAAAGCTCCAAAAATTAGAAAAAAAGGACAAAAAAACAAGAAATTCGAACTTTTAGAAATTCGAAATTTCGCGAAAATCCTAAATTTTGAACTTCTCAGAAATCACAACAATTATTACTGAAAATCGATTTTTCAATATAAAATTAGAAAAGTTCAATTTTGGGAGTTTTTAGCATACTTGTAAAATCCCGGGCCTGGTGAAATTTTCAAGTATTTTTGAGCCAAATTTTGAGCTCTGAATATAATTTTTTCCGATTTTTTTTCGTTTCTTTTTTTTTGGATTGTTTGCCTGTTTGATCAAAAAAAAATCGAAAAAATTCGCATAAGGGTCCCGCCTTATGTGTTTTTTGAAATTTTCAAAACTTGTGGAATGAAGGGCCCGCCGGGCCGGGCCTCCGAAATTTGGAAAAAAAGCCCGGCCCGTTTCTAGTTTTTTTCGAATTTTTGTAATTTTCAGAAGATTTCCAAATGTTTTGAATTTATCTTTGTAAATCCAATTTTTTCGGAATTTTCGAAAATTTCGAATTTTTGGGATTTTTGAAAATGTCAAAAATTTTGTTTAAATTCTGGAAAAATTATGAATTTTTTGCAGTTACAAAATCCCAGAAAAATGAGAAATGCTTGAAATTTCAAGAAAACCCGCTAAAACAGTGTTCTAATTGGTTGTAGAAGCTTATAGATCGTGGTGAATGAGCTGGAGAAGTCGTCGGACGAAGCAATGTCGGCATCCACGACATCAATGGATACTGTAGAAATGTTTCATAGTTCGAATGGAGATTCATCGTCATCAGCGAATCATCACTTTTTTTGATTATTTTTTTTTTCGTCTCTATTTTCAGATGTATTAGAATATTATTATGATGTATTTTATATGCTTTATTTAGGCAAAAATCGGAGAAAATTGGAGGAAAATTTCGAATTTTTTTTGGGATTTTTGGAAATTTTTTCTCCTTTTTCTCTCTCCATTTTCTTCGTTTTTTTTATTGTTCAATTTACTCGATGTGTTAATATTGATTCTCTTTTCTTCTCATATGCTTCCAGTTGCGGGTTTTAAATGTTTCCAATTTTCTCATTAAAACATTTTTTTTGGTGAAAATTTTCAGACAAAAAAATTGAAAATTTCGGATTTTTTGGGATTTTGAAGATTTCTAATTTTCGAGATTTTTGGAAACTTCTGAAATTTTGAATTTTAGGATTTTCTGAAATTTCGAAGATTATTGTTTTTGTAGAAATTTCGGAGTAGTTTTTTTTTTTGGATTTTTTAAAATTTTACAGATTCTCCGGATTCTTTAGAAATGTCAGAATTCCTGGATTTTTAAATAATTTCAGAAATTTCGAAAATTTTCGATTTTTGAGGTTATTGAATTTTCAGGATTTTGAAATGCTCGAATTTTAATTTTTTTGAAAATTTCAGGATTTTCGGAAGTCTTGGATTTCTAAAAATCTCCATATATGAAATTGCAAAATTTCAAACGTTTTGACGAATTTCGAAACTTTAGGATTTTTGTAATTTTCTTTTTTATGGACTTTTAATTTTTCAAACTTTTCTCAAAAGTCACAAATGTGAAATTTTGAAATTTAGAACATTTTGTTTTTGGAAAAATCTAAAAAAAACTTTAAGAAATTCGAAATTTAAAAAGCTTCGAATTCACAGGAACATTTGAAAATCCGAACTTATGTATGTATTTTATGTAAGGTTCCATCTCAAACGCAAATTTCAGAAATTCAGAAATTTTCGGATTTTCTTAATTTCTTGAAATTCGAAATTTGAAAAAAACCAAAAAAAAAGTACATTTCCGGTAAAATTTGAAAAATTCAAATTTATCCAAATTAAATTTTTTTTCTGAAAATTTTCATCTCATTATTCTCTCTCGCTAGTCTCTCTTTGTCCCATTTCGCCCCCTTGTTACATACCAAAGAAAGTGCCTTTTACTCGATTTCTAATTTTTTTTTTGTTCTATTTCTCATATTATCCTTATTTTTGACTAATTTTAAGTGATTTTTTCTATATTTTCCCCCCAATTTTCCTATTTTAATGCTCTTGATTCATCTCCTTCAAACTGGTCTTCAAATCTCTCATTTTAGATTTTTTTCAATTTTTTTTTCATAATTCAAACATCATCATCATCATTATTCGGAAGAAAAGAGAAAAATACCGCACGAAAAAAAGAATAAAAATGTTTTCTTTGCTTCCCAATTAGTTTTTTTTTCAGATATTTTAATTAAAAATACATTCAATAAGATTTATTAAAATTACAAAAAAAATGGAAAAAATGGTTTGAAACCCGGTGAAAAACATGGAAAAATTGAAAAAAAATTCTTTAAAACCGATGATTTGGGCAGCTTTGTCTCCTTCGGATCATTCGGAATCGGATCTGAAAATCAAAAAAAAATACCCTGCGTCTCTCATTTCCCCGCACTCTTTCTCCCCCCCCCCCCTCCCAATCTTTCACTGCGTCTCCCTCCCCGGCCGCCGCGCCCTCTCTCTTCAAATACGCCTCACACTCCCCTCTCTCACACCGCCCTTATAGCTCAGTGGCAGAGCGCTGGTCTTGTAAACCAGAGGTCCGTAGTTCAATCCTGCGTGGGGGCAAATTTTTTTTGCGGCTTTTTCCATTTTCGCTAGGCGGTTTTCCGATGCGCTGAGCTTGAATTTGGCGCTCATCTTCCGTTCAGACTTACAGGTTTACTGTTGGGATGTGTTTGACGACTCCTTGTGTTGACTTGACAACTGTGTAGCGGCGAGTCGTCGGATTTTGAATTGGCGGGCGATGGACAACACGTCGGATGTACGGTGGGTGGAGTCTGACCGAGGCGAGCGACACTTCACGAGCATTGTTGATCTGGATTTTTTTCTAATTTTCGGCCTAAAAATGTTTTTTAACTCACCATAATATTTCTCTTTTGCTCTTGCAAAAACCACTCGGCGTACCAGAACACTCGTTCGGTGTTCGTCATTTTTCTAATCTTTTCTTCGAGCTCCGTTTTTGTCACCAGGATTCTCATTTTTGAGCGATTTTAACTGAAAAATTGGTGGAAAATTGCGAGAAATCACGAAAAATGGGTCGGAAACAAAAAAAATTGAGAAAAATCGAGCGATTCACAAAGTTTGGGTGAATGCTGACGCAATTTATGCGAGAAGCGATTTGAGGCATGCGCCTTTAAGCGGCTACAGTAACCTCAAAGCTTGATTAGTGGGTTTTTAGCCGAATAGGAAAGAAAAAATGTTGAAAAATGGTCGAAAAATTGAATAAAGGCTTTATTAGATTTTTTCAGGTGAGAAAAGCGGAAAAAATACCTTTTTTCAGTGAAAACTTTCAAGTCATGCGCCTTTAAATTTTCTACAGTAACCCGGAAAATAATTTCAACTTTTTTCAAGTCAAAATGCTGAAAAAACATTGAAAATTTAATGAAAAACCAAATAAAAGGCTCTAACTGACTATATTTCAACAAAAAAATCCAGAGAAACACGATTTTCAATATATGCTGCAAAAACTTTCAAGGCATGCGCCTTTAAATTTTCTACAGTAACCCAACAATTTTAAATGAATTTCAAAGCATTTTTCTGTAATTCTTCGCAGTTTTCTGGGTTAAAAACCGTAAAAACATGAATGAAACTTTAAAAATAGACAAAATTCTTAAATTTCTGCATGCTTAATTCGTTAAAAATCACATTTTCTCGCTGTACTAAGGAAAAATATATGAAATTTCGTTTTCTTCAAATTTCCGATCAAAAATACGCTTTATTTTAAATATACTGAATAATGATGACTTAGAATACTTGGCTAGTGCCCAAAATGTAAAAAAAAATCGATAATTGAAATAAATTATCGGGATCCTTGATAGTAGGCGGTGGACAATTTGGGGAGCACATCTCGAACTTTCATCATCTCTTGGAATTGTAGAAGAAGGTTCTGTTTGTTGACCCGTTCCGTTCCGAACATTCTGAAAGATTAATAATTGATTTTTGTGAAAGAACTACCGTAATCACTCTAAGCCACCCAATCCGCCAACTTTGAGCTCCTATATCTCAGTTCCGGTAGAATATATGAACAATTTTCAACTGACAAAATGTTCAGCATAATATCAGAAACATTTTATTGATCACTTTTTGATATCTCTTATAGGAGCCGAGATGAATTGGTTGAAAGTTAAGAGGTCGGCGGCCGACCGCGTTGCCCAGCCGGAGAGCGACGAGCTTTCCCCTTTGAGCTCAATTATCTCAGCTCTTATAAGATATCAAAAAGTTGCCAACTGATAAAATGTTGGTGATAATATGAAAAACATTTTGACAGTTGACCACTATTTTGTATCTTTTACAGGAACTGAGATATATGAGCTTGAATTTGAATGCTTAGCTACTCACGCATGCCAATACTTGATGAAATGATCATGTTGATTGTTATGCATGTAGTCACAGAATCCGCTGTCTTTACGGTAGTCCAAACAAACGACACAGTAGTTTCCATTGGCTTGGTTTCGCTTTCGAAGCGTTTTTCGACAATTTAGCTCTTCCCTGATAGCGTACGCCATGTCAGCAATGGTAGTAAAGGGTGTGGATAGACGGACCTCGCGGGATGGTATGTGGGACATGTCCTGGAATTGTTTTAGAACATTAGGCGTCAAAAAACTCAAAAAAGAGCCCAACGTGCTAGATTAACATAACATAGAAGCCCACCCAATGTTCCTATTTTGAGCTCAATTTTCTCGGTTTCTTTGAAAGATATCAAAAATTTGTTAACTGATAAAATGTTTATCATAAAATGTACTATATTTTATCAGTGAACAAATTTCTGATACCTCTTGCAGGAGCCGAGATATATAAGCTCAAAGTTAAGAGGTCGCCAGCCGATCGCGTAGATCACCACCAGTCGGCAATCACTGACATTTCAACTTCGAGCTCAATTATCTCAGTTCCTATGAGAGTTATCAAATAGTTGTCAATTGATAAAATATTGGTGATATTATGATAAATATTTTATCAATTGACAAATTTTTGATATCTCTGATAGGAACCGAGATAATTAAGCTCAAAGTGCACGTACGAGCCGGCTGCTGTTAGAGCGCGAGATGTCCAAAAAATGCCCCAAAAACTTGTGCGATTTTTCTAGAAATTCTACAGTATGCCACGTAAAAAAAGAGCTTCATTTTTGTAAATACCAACTTTTTTGTAAAATTTTATCTGGACGAGATATGCGCCTTTAAAAGTGACAATAACAAAATTTTCAGCTCTTCCGTTCTTGACATTTTTAAAGGCGCATATCCCATTTGCACAAAATTTCACGAAATGTTATCGACTACAAAAATAGAGCTAAATTTCTGTTTAGTATACTCTAACATTTTCAGACAAATCGAAAAATTTTGAGCTTGCTTTTTTTCCTTTTTTGCAAGATATCAAGCTCGGCTCACCTGCGCCAATGACCATGGAAGCTTTTCTGGTGGATTTCCGGTGCTACTGCTTGTCTTTTGTTTCTTTTTTGACGACGATGCTTCAGAAGTCTCACTGACTATGGAGACGTCCTGAAAAATGGGATACCGTATAACCTGCATTTGAAGGGCCCCCCTGGGACAGGCTTGGAAAAATAGAAGGGCCGGGTTACTTGCTGAAATGAGAAAGCGTGCACTATAAGCTCAATTATCTCAATTCCTATAAGAGAAATCAAAAATTGGCCAACTGATAAAATATTACTGATAATGTGATAAACATTTTATCAGTTTACAAAATTTTTTATCTTTCATAGGAGTTGAGGTAATTAAGCTCAAAGGTGAAATATACTTGAACTTCAAGCTTAATTATCTCGGCTCTTATAAGTGATATCAAAAACTGTCAACTGATAAAATGTTTATCATAATATCAACTACATTTTATTAGTTAACCAAATTCCCATATCTCTAATAGGTAGCGAGATAATTGAGCTCCAAAAACTCACATCATCCCCTCCATTCCCTTCCTCATCCTCCTCCCTTGATCTTTTCCGATTCGATGGTTCCTCTGGCGTCTGACTGATTTCCGATGGGTCCGTTGAGGGCGGAGCCTCATCATCTTCATCCTCCACAATGTTGAAATAGTGATACGGTTTGCGGTCCTCTTGGTCGGCCACAAGATTTCGATGATGGGATTTTTGTGGAGTACCGTACTGGAAAATATATGTTTTCAAAAAAAAAAACAAACTTTCTAGCTCGCCTGAGAGCTGAGATACAGTCGATTAAAGTTTACCTAGGTGAGGGATGCTGTAAAAACGACAGAGCGAAGAGACAACAAGGCTCTCTAACTGTCTGCGTCTCTTCTAAACTTCAAATAGCTGTATCTCAGCTCTCAGATGAGCTAGAAACTTGGTTTTTCCAGATAATTGTCCAGTTTTTTGTCTATTTTCTGAATTTCTAAATTTCTGAATCCCCGAATTTACCGAATTTCTGGTCCATGGTTGTTGGAAGACTCGTACTGGCATTATGGATGATCGATGGACTTCAGAGGTCTGAAAAAATGGACATTTTGAGATTTTCGAAACTACAGTAATCCCGGAACCTCTGCTCTTTTTGGCTCCAGAATTGCCTGATCAGCTTCTTGAAATTGAATTTTCATGAATTTCAAATGATTTATAGCCACGTGCTGATTCATATCGATTCCTGTGGAAAACCAACTGTTACAGTCTTTCCAGCCACATTGAATCTGAAAATTTGAGAATTTGAGAATTTTTTGATTTTTGGAAATTTGAATTTTTTATTTTTGGAATTTTGGAATTTTTGAATTTCTGAATTTTAGAATTTTAGGATTTTAGGATTTTAGGATTTGAGAATTTTAGAATTTTCTGAATTTCTGAATTTTAGAATTTTCAGAATTTCTGAATTTTAGAATTTTCTGAATTTCTGAATTTTAGAATTTTCTGAATTTCTGAATTTTAGAATTTTCTGAATTTCTGAATTTTAGAATTTTCTGAATTTCTGAATTTTAGAATTTTCTGAATTTCTGAATTTTAGAATTTTCTGAATTTCTGAATTTTAGAATTTTCTGAATTTTAGAATTTTCGAAATTTTGGTATTTTAGAATTTTCGAAATTTTGGAATTTTAGAAATTTAGAATTTTAGAATTTTAGAATTTTAGAATTTTAAAATTTTAGAATTTTAGAATTTTAGAATTTCTGAGTTTCCAACTTTCTGAATTTCAGAATTTTTTGAATTTTTGAATTTCAGAATTTTCAGAATTTTAGAATTTTCAAAAAAAAGAGAATTTTTGAAAATTCCAAATTCATTTTTTTCGAAAATTTTCCAAAAATCTGAAATTCATTAAAACCTCAAAATTTGCCATCTCATGAAAAATTATGTTTTTTTTCCGATTTTCAGTATTTTATGGTTTTATGATTTTGCGGACAATTTTTTGCACATTATAAAGTTTTTGATGATTTTTTAATGATTTTCAAAAAAAAATTTTTCGCAAGTTTTAGAAAAATAAAGAGTTCCTACCATATCAGGTAGTGGTCCAGAAGATGAAGAAGAAGCCATTTTTTAAGGAAAAATTCTGAAATTTCGAAAAATTCTATTTTCAAAAACACGGAAAAGGCAGAATAAATAGAACTATTGAAAACTGCCAAAAACAGTAACCAGAAACAAAAACGGAGATTTAAATTTCAGAAAAAAAAACATCAAACAGTTTATTGTATGGATTTTGTAAAATTGAAAGAAAACAAGAGATAAAAAACAAGAAGGCAAAAAAAAACTATGATTCCAAAACTGAAAAATTCTACATTGGATTCTGTATCCCTAGACTGACGTCATCTGAAGCATTGGCTCAGGATTCTGAAGAAGCCACGTCTTCTAGACTCGCTGTGGAAGCTGGCGATAAAGGTTCCAAATGGTGTTTGAATTCTGACGCAACTGATTTCGAAGCTTCTATAATTCCTGGTCCCAGCTCGTTTGGCTTCTCCTTCGAGTGTTCCTGATTCCACTCCAGTAATTCCATCTGTAGGTTGGGGTCTTTTTCGAGGATTTCCGCAGCAACTTTTTGGTCTTGGATTGTTCTACTGACCTCTTCTTTCAGAAATTCTTCTTCCTCTCCATCATCAACTTCTTCATCATCTTCACTACTCCTTTCAAAAGCCAGCTTCTTATCTGAAACATCTATGCTCACAATGCTTCCCACCCCCGTCTAATCTCACCTGGATCTTTGTGATGGGGAACTTCTCGAGCACCTTCAACATCCACGAATTCTTTTTCCTCTTGATTCTGAACATCCAGCCCATTGGATTCTAAAATTAAGAAAAGTTCAGATTTGAAAACTACAGTTCTTGGAGACTTACCTAGCTTGGCCTCTTCATTCAACGGTTCAGATGATGATTTTGAATTCCCTAATTTTTCTGGCGTCTCTGAATCTTTAGACGGCGTTGTCGGTCTCCAATCACATGGAATGGAAGCTCCAGGAATTTCAGTGGCCTGCCCATTGCCTTCAAAATCCATGAAATCTTGGTCCTTCTGATCCTGAGATTCAGAGATGTCTCCGTTTCCTAAATCTGCTTCAATGAATTCTTCAGCTGGCGATTCTAGCATGGCTTCTTCTAGAACTTGTTCAGTTCTTGAAGAATCGTCCTCTTGATGTCCCTTATCATCTATCTCTTGATCAACAACTTTGTTTCCACTCTCGCCGGCTTTCTGATCCTCGTGTTCTTCTTGTGACGTCACCATTGTGCCAACAACTTCTACTTCCTTTTCTGGAACAACTGGGATCTCTGGACTGACGTCATCTGGGGAATTGGCTGAGGATTGGCTGAGGATTTTCGTATCTTTTCCTATTTCTGAAGAAGCAGTGTCTTCTAGATACGCCGAGGAAGCTGGCGATGAAGATTCCAGATGAACCTTGATTTCTGTGAGTTCTGACATGGCTGAGACTATGACTTTAGGAGCTTCCGCTTCTTGCTCAACCTTTTTAGAGCTATTGGCTTCTGAAAGTTCCAAGGATTCTCTATGAAAAACCTAGGCTTCCGCTCACCAGGCTCATCGTCATCCGGTGCTAGACGATGTGGGCTTTTTCGAAAAAAATAAGTTGAAGTTTCCACTGGTTCTTGTTCTTTTGAAGTGACCCATTCTTCATCTTCACTATCAGAAGACCCATAATCATCGAGCAATTGAATTAACGCTTTGGATTCATTTTTGGCTTCAGCGGCCGCCTCGGAAATGTGAACTTGTGGAACGGCGGTTGGTTCTAGGGTATCTCTTGTTTCCTCGTGATCACTGTTACCATGATAATCAATGAATTCTTCCGCAATCTGATTTTCTGGTCTTCGGAAGTTGGCTGATTCATCCATGATCTCTGCTTCTACATGATCCACTTCCACCGGGTCTTCATCGAGTGATTCTGAAATCAAATTTTTCCAAAAAACTTTATTCTCAAAACTTGAATTCTCACCTGCGCCCTTTTTCGGTCGCCAATGATTTATTCCATTGCGCTTCAATGTCACACATTCTTCCTTCAGTGTCGATAAGGCATCTATAAGGTTCTCTTGGTTGAACTCTGAGCCATTTAAGCGCATCTTTCTGTAAACAATACGTTGAACTCTAATCTTTACTAATTTCCATAGTTGCAAGCGGGACGTCTGATAAGTTGTCTCTAAAACGAGATACTCTGACGGTTTCAGTACCATATGATAGATCTCGACAGGGCCCATCATATTCTAATAATCATGAATAGAGTTTAAGATGTAGCCGACATTGGGATGGTCACAGTTCCAGCTGGAGTGACGGCAGCGAAAGCAGCCTGAGCGTCAGTCGCATCAGCTGGGGCGTTGGCGAAGTGGATGACGAGCTTGTCCTCCTTTGGTGCTCCAGCAGTGCGAGTGATGGTAACGTCCTTGGTTCCAGATGGATCGATGAATCCGAACACTGGGGTGATACGGTACTCATTGTTGTTTGACGACTTGATCTTGAAGATGAGTTTGTCGGCTCCTCCATTGACCAATTTGTGGGTCGAGGTTCCTCCGGCCGCTGGGACGGTGCATGCTGGTGGATCGGCAGTCAAAGACATGTTTCGGCTTCGGTTGGAGTTTACTGTGGAAGTTAAACACTCTGATCATATCATTTAAGCCTGATTCCATTCCTGTAACATGCCGCAAACTGTGCTTGAATGACAATTTTCGAACAACTTGACGAAAAGCAGATTTTAGTCATTTAAACACATTTTTCGACATGTTATCGGACCGGATTCCAGCTCAAATTATATAAACCTGATGGGCCCTGTCGAGATCTATCATTTGGTACCAAAACTGTCTGAACATCTCGTTTTAGAGACAAGTTATCAGTCAGCCGGAACGCTTGCAACTGTTCTTATTCCTAAAACTTACTCTCGTGCTTCACATATGATCTGATTCCTGATCGTTTCTTTATGTTTATTTTTGCAATCCGTTCGTTGACAATGAAAACAAAACTTCTCGTTGTTGAAGTCATCATCTTTGATTGTGGAAGATTTTGCGATCAAATCATATGTGGCCCACAGTACACTACTCATGCATTTCTGAAAAAAAAAACCATTTGTAACCATACTTGTAAAATTCCGGGCCGGACCGGTAGGAAAAATTTTGTCATTTTGAACCGCTTACCTCTTCCGATTTACTCGGCTGTCGGCGCCAATACTTGCACAAGTCTCTGAGCATAATATTCTTTGTATTAGTTAAGACTTGTGGCAGGCTTGTGCAAGACTTGTAGTAGAGTTGGCCAAGTCTTGTATTCTGTTGATTCTGTTGTTGGCGTAACGACGCAAGACTTGGCCAAGCCTGC